GGACTCAAAAAAAAAAGAAAAGAAAATCCAAATGACAACTTGTAATCCTTTTCTGATTCAGCTCCCCACTCCATTTTTCCTATTGCCACACCTAACCACCACCACACTCCATTTAAACTGAACCTTTGGGGCTGGTAATGGGGCTTAGTGGTAGAGTGCTTGCCTTACATGCATGAAGCCCTGGATTCGAGTCCTCAGTACCACATAGAAAAAAGCCAGAAGTGGCACTATGGCTCAAGTGGTACTGTGGCTCAAGTGGTAGTCATTTTTTAGCAAAAGAAGCTCTGGGACAGTGCCCAGGCCTAGAACAATCCCCAGGACTGGCAAAAAAAAAAAAAGAAAGAAAAAGAAAAATCCTGAACCTTTGCTAGACTCCAAATGTGCTAGCTCTCTTTGCAAAACTACTCATTTGCCAATGCTAGTTCCCTTTTCTACTCCAAGCTCTCATCTAATTAGCCCTTTGGGATACAGAGGCAGCTTTTAAGAATCCTTTCTCTGTGCTCCCTGACATACACCTGGACATCCACTCCACTGACATGTGAGACGCTAGTGTGTGTGTGTGTGTGTATACAGTGTGTGTGTGTGTGTACAGTGTGTGTGTGTGTGTACACTGGGCCTTGAACTCCAGGCCTAGGTGCTAGCCTTTAGCCTTTTCATTCAAGTTTGGGGATCTACCACTGGAGCCACAGCTCCACTTCTGGCTCTTTGGTGGTTAATTGTGAATAAGGAGTCTCGCAGACTGCCCAGGGTTGGCTTCAAGCTATGATCCTCAGATCTCAGCCTCCTGAGTAGCTAGGATTACAGGAGTGAGCCACTAGCACCTGGCTTCAGGTCATTCATCTTTATCCCCCAAGCCACTAGGTAACCAGAAAAGAAAAGGGGAAAAGGCTACAAGGATCCAGCATCCAAGAACATCCGGATAGTCTCCTGTTTCAGCTGGTCTCCTGGTCCCAGAAGCCTTCTGGAAAACATAACACTCACCAAGTCAAGCTTCCCATGGTCAAGACTGGTCCGGAGGAATACCCTTCACCCATATGCCATCACCATCACTTAGAAATTCTTGCAGAATAAGACACTGTCAGCGAAAGTGGACAGGTTTGATAGCCTCAAGCCAGAAGCCATTAGACCACAAAAGGACTGTTGGTGGAGGTGTGGACCTGGCCGGGCGCAGGATGCTCTGGGAGTTGTAGTTCACTGGGTAGCTTTTGAAAAGGGCGTGGCCGCACTGTGTATTTTGGGAGTTGTAGTGTTTTTCTAGAGTGCTTTCTACGCAGGCGCGGACCGATATCCATTTCCGGGCGCCAGCATCGCACTTCTCAAAAGGACAAAACCTCGTGGTTTTCCCGAAGAGCAATGGCTACCTACAGCCTGGCGAACGAGCGACTACGCGCCCTGGAGGACATAGAACGGGAAATCGGCGCCATCCTCCAAAATGCAGGTTCGGGAGGCGACTCGTGGACGGCAGGGCGCGAAAGCGAGAGCCTGTGGCCGTCGCACATGCGCTGACCGCAGAGAGTCCGCCGGGCCGTGGAGGCGGCGGGAGGCGGGGGGGGGGGGGGGGGGGGGGGGGTAGGTCGTAGGCGCGTGCGCGGAAGGTGGGGAGCCGCTGTCTTAGTTTGGAGCTTCCTTGCCCTTCTCCGGCTAGCCCCTCCCTCTCTGCCGTCAGGGACCGTGATCCTAGAGCTGTCGAAGGAAAAAACCAACGAGCGACTCCTTGACCGGCAGGCGGCAGCCTTCACCGCCTCGGTGCAGCACGTGGAGGCCGAGCTGTCGGCTCAGATCCGCTACCTCACCCAGGTGGGTGTCGTCCGAGGCGCCGCGTGGAACCCGGGCCCCCGAGCCCCAGCCGGGCAGGATCGGACCTGTGAAGCTGGCACACCACCCCGGCCGGGAGGACCCCCTCCTTCCATGGCGGGTGTATTCCTCTAAAAGAAAATAAGGAGCCGGGCGCCGGGACTCAAGCCTGTAATCCTAGCTACTCAGGAAGCTGAGATCTGACGATCAAGGTTCAAAGCCAGCTCTAGCAGGAAAGTCCCCGAGACTCTTATCTCCAGTTAACCACCAGGAAACAGAAGGTGGCGCTGTGGATCAAGGTTGAGCGCTAGCCTAGAGCTGGGACAGCGCCCAGACCAAGAGTTCAAACTCCACCCGTGACAAAGAAAAGAAAGAGGGCCCCTGTGCTTCTGGATAGGGAAGTGTGAGAGATGGGATGTAAACATTACCAAAGACTCAGAACTTTGTTTCTAGAAACTTCGCTTGACTCCAGGGCATGAGACTCCAGATGATTACATCTGGGCTAGAATCCTGGAATCCTAGCTACTTAGCAGGGTGGGACTGGGAGGAGCTAGGTTCCAGACCAGACCACATCTCCACCAATAAATAGCTGGGTGCCAGTATGTCAGCCTGTCACCCCAGCTACATTAGGTGTTTTGTGGTTCAGGCCTTCTTGACAAAAAGCTAGACCCAGTTTAGAAAATAAGGAAAAAGGGCTGGTGGCCTGTCTTAAGTGGTAGAGCAAGCAGGAGGTGTTGAGTTCAAACTCCATTACTTAAAAAAAAAAAAAAAAGGGATTGGGAAGGTGGATCAGGGGTAGAGTGCTTGCCTTGCATGCATGAGGCCCTAGGTTCAATTCCTCAGCACCACATAAGCAGAAAAAGCCAGCAGTGGCGCTGTGGCTGAAGTGGTAGAGCACTAGCCTTGAGTTGAAGAGCTGAGAGACAGCGCCCAGATCCAGAGTTCAGGTCCCATGACTGGCAAAAAAAAAAAAGAAGAAGAAGTAAAGAAAGTCCTTATGACTGTTATTGTAATTGACTAAGATTAATAGTATTCCAAGCACTCTGCATTATTTTATCCTACAACTCTAGGAAGGATTTACTGGCACCTCATTTAACAGAAGAGTTTAACAGACATTAAGTGGTTTGCTTATATTGCCAAGGTACCAGAATAATAAAACTCAGAACAGAAAGACAAGAGCTGTGTGCTGGTAGTTCACACCTGTAATCTTCACTACTGAAGAGGCTGAAATCTGAGGATCAGAGTTATAAGCCAGCCCAGGCAAGCAAGTCCATTAGACCCTTATCTTCAGTTAACCAGCAAGAGCCAGAAGTAGAGCTGTGGCTCAAGTGGTAGAACACCAGCCTTGAGCAAAACAAGCCAAGCAAGAGCTTGAGGCCCTGAGTTCAAGCCCCAGTACTAGCACGCACACACACACATACACACACACAAAAGTCTAGTTAAGGGTAGGTAAGGTAGACAATCCTCCATTAATATATTTAACTGTCCTCTAGGTGGCTACAGGACAACCCCATGAAGGCTCCAGTTACTCTTCCAGGAAGGACTGTCAAATGGCTCTGAAACGTGTAGATTATGCCCGCCTCAAGCTCGGTGATGTGGCCCGAACCTGTGAGCAGATGCTGGAGAACTGAGGCAATGAGGAGAACCCAGAACATGGAGGGAGGCTGTGACCTGTGCCCAGAGACAGTTGGAGACCCACAGGACCCACAGGATGGGGACTACAGACTGACATACATAGGTGCCCTCATGTGCAGAGGAGATTAGGGCAAGGGGGCAGAACATGGAAATGGAGAAACGAAAGCCCAAGCCTGCCTACACTTGTGCCCTGGCTCCTCCAGCAGATTGCTCCTGCTTTCCACTACACAAGCTCATACTGGAGTTGGTGACTCAGTGGGTTGGACCAACCCACTTCCTCATGAAATCATGTTCCAGCCCCAGGCTTCCTGAAGATTTGGTCCAATGAACAATATATTCTTCATTGTTGCAAGACACAAAAACAAGAACTACTGGTTTCAGTAATAAAAGCAGTAACAATTTTATAGAAGAGATTCTCACTGGGTTATACAAGAGATTAAGGGTGTAAATATCAGTATCAGTACAGCAACCACTGAGGAGGGAGGCCTGGAAAAGCTGTCAGTGTGGAGGAACAGCTGGTGTAAAGGGACCCTTGTGTTGGGGAACCATCAGAGAAGTTGAAGCCAGCAGTTATGGGAAAGGGGACAAGGACCTGAAATCAATGTCTGTGGAAAGAAGAATCAGTGGTCCTAAAAATAATTTTTAATAGTTAAAAAAACCGCATGTAGAGAATCAGATGCAGTGGCTCATGCCTGTAATTGTAGGTATTCAGGAAGGTAGAGATCTGGAGGATTGTGGTTCAAGGCAAGCCCAGCAAAAAGTTAGTGAGACCCTATCTCAATAGAAAAGCTGGCATAGTGGTGTGTGCCTGTCATCCTAGCTACCTGGGAAGCTTAAGTAAGATTTCAATTTAGGTTGGCCTGGGCAAAAAAAGCTCAAACCCTACTGCAAAATAATAGGCAGTAGATTGGAGGCATGGCGTAATTGGTACTAAGTATGAAACTTGAGTTCAAATCCTAGTACCACCAAATTTTGTCCAACCTATCTGCACAACCAGGAGATAATTTTTTTTCTGGCATGTATTTGTCACAGAGTTACACCCTCAAACCACAGATCTTTGTAATACTGGATTTTTTTCTTTTCTTTCTTTTCTATTTTTTTATTGTGAAAATACTGTACAGAAGGGTTACAATTACATGGGCAAGATAGTGAGTACATTTCTTATCAAGCATTGTAGCCTCCTCCTTTGTTTACCCTTTCCATCCCTTCCCAGCCTCCCCCCGCCCTGGATTTTTTTTTTTTAAACATTAAGAATGTACTAAAAGACAGCGAGGTTAATCATATATTAATCATTAGAGGGTGCCTAGTATAAGCCAGGAATTGTATGACACAGTTTTCCAAAAATAAGTTGCCAGGTGTGGTGTCACACAGCAAAAATCCTAGCACCCAGGAGGATCAAGAGTTTTGGGGGGGGGGGGGCGGGAGGGGGAGGCGTCGCGGGGGTGTGCCTGTGACTCACACCTGAGATCTGAGGAACACAGTTCAAAGCCAGTCTGGGCAGGAACATCCATGAGATTGTTATCTCCAATTAACCACCAGAAAACCAGAGGTAATGCTATGAAGTGGTAAAGTGCTAATCTTGAGCTGAAGAACTGAGGGATGGCACTGGAGTTCAAGCCCTACAACCAACAACAACAACAAAAAAGGGTCTGGAGTACACCCTAGTGGTAGATCACTTGTATGCCCATCTTCCCTAGCTTCCACAGCAGCTCAGTCTGTACTCTTATAGGCTTCCATTTGTGGCTCAGGTGTGTTGGGGTCTGGTGTCACAAGTGTACATTGGAGCTGCAAATCTGGAAAGAATAAAGAAATGCAGAGGTAAGATCTGAGATCAAGAGGAATCGGGGAGGAGGTGAGAGCTTAAGCTGGAGACTGAGATATGAACTCTAGGATATGGTACACAGTAAGTGCTTAGGGATAGACTTGTGACTGCATCAACAGCCCTCATCTTTCTTCATTTTGTTCCAAGTACTGTCCACTCATCTCTAGGCCCATGGCAGCTACCCTCTTGCCTCCACTCAGGAGATCTGGCTGACTTCCCTCACAGCCCATAGTCCATAATGTAAAAAGCAAGAAACCTAATGTTAGGTTTCTTGCTAGGGGCAGAATCTCCACCTCAAGGGGCACCAAGAAGGCTCTAAGTCTCTCTAAGTCTCTCCAGGAAGGGTTCAGAAGTCCAGTTACCTGAGGAGCACTTTTCTGACTTCTTCCTCTTCCTCTTGCATAGCACAAAGAAGAGGACTCCAGTGAGGATGAAGGTGATGGCCAGAAGGGACAGCACTGGCACCACAGCTGATGTGCTGCTAGCTGTAGCAGCTCTGTTTTCTCCCTGCTGCTTATGGTTCCCTGCAGCTTCAGGCACAGCTCCAACACTATAGGCTGAAGTGGGAGTAGTGGTTTCACTGAGGAGGGTGAACTGGTTGTCTGAAGGCAGTGGCCCCGGTGGGAGGGTGGACTGCTGGGTAGGCCAAAACTGGGCAAGAGTGCTCTTGTCTGGAGGTGCTGCCTCTGTGGGCTTGGGAATCAGGGTGCTGGGGGGAGGCAAATGCTTCCAGTCAATCAGTTTCTTCCAATGAACACTTCCACACTCTGGAGAGGAGAGATGTAAGGACATAAGGCTCTCAGAACAGGTGTAAACAAAACCAACAACAACAAAACCGGTGAGCAGGTGCTAGTGGCTCACGCCTATAATCCTGTCTACTGAGAGGCTGAAAGATCGTATTTCAATCGTATTTCAATCCTCAAATTGAAGCAGTCCTCATCTCTAGAATTAGCCACCTTTTGGTGCTAATTTTGAGTGAAAAAAAACTAAGGGAAAGCTTCTCAGCCCTGAGTTCAAGCCCCAATACTGGCACAAAAGGAAAAAAAAACAAAACCCCGCAAGTGTAGGGGGAAAAAAGTGGTATCATCCATGGCTAGGGTCATGGCTGATACACCATAATGAAACCTAAATGTTTTATGGGACATGGCAGACTTCAGAAGAATCCAGTGACCCAGGGAAAACTATATTATTTCTATCTATCTATCTATCTATCTATCTATCTATCTATCTATCTATCTATCTATCTATCTATCTCTATCTATAGTGTGTGTATGTGTGCGTGTGTGTATATTTGTCATTGTTGTTGCTGTTTCTCTGCCAGTCCTGATGCTTTTACTCGGCCTGAGTGCTGTCCCTGAGCTCCTTTTGCTCAAGGTTAGGGCTCTACCACTTTGAACCACAGCACCACTTGCAGTTTTCTGGAGGTTAATTGGACTTTACTGCACAGGCTGGCTTTGAACTGTGAGCCCTCAGATGAGCCTCCTGAGTAGGATTACAGGAATGTGCTACTTGCACCCAACTGAAAACTATATTTTTATGCTTAGATATGAAGAATGGCAGTTGTATAGAAGTATGATTGTGTAAGAAGGGCATGATTTAGTAGTAATAAACAGGGAGGGATCTGGGATGTAGTTCAATGCTAGTGCCCTTGCCTAGCATTTGCAAGGCCTTAGTTTTGATCACTAGTACATTCTCTCACATTGGAAAAACAAAATTGGAAACAAAAATGGGAGGCACCAGCAAGGCCTGTGTAGATTCTTCTTGGCCCTTGAATATAAGACAAGACCCTTATGAAATGAGTGTGTTAGGCCTTTCAGGTGAGGTAGGTTATAGAATTCCTTGTGGCCACCTGTCACACAGAAAGCGGGGATGTAGAATGAATTTCTTGCATCTTCAGTTTTCCCAATTGCTAAGGTACGATATTTGAGGGTATGAAGTTCTCAGTCCAACAGAAGGGAAAGTAGTAGGTCAGGGAGAATTTTGAGGGGACAGCTGGAGGGCTGGGGTGGAACTCAGTGGCAGAGTTCTTATATGTGTGAGCCTTGGGTTTCTTCCTCAATGAAGAAAACTCTCTCTCTCTCTCTCTGTCTCTCTCTCTCATGGTGGGAGAGGAGAGAGCAGCACCTGCTGAAGGCAATGTAGAAACAAGGGCGAGGTAGCAGGAAGAATCAAAGGAAGTAAATAGATTTCTGTTCTGGAGACAGTATGAGTACCACTGACAATATGCAAGAAACTTCAGTAGACTATCAAAGACCATTTTGTGTTCATGGCTGTGTACTTATTTTAGGAGAAAATAGAATCAGCACATCAAATTTGTGACTGCACAGATTTCATTGCTAAGGACAAGTTGTGAAATAACTTTTTACAAAATTGGCTTGTGCACTAAAATTCATTTCCTTGTATATAGGGTTTTTTTGTGGGGGGGGGTTGGGGTGTCTTTTTTTTAACCTCAAAAGCAAAATGCAGCCAGCAGCTGGTTGCTAACACCTATAATCCTCCTTGGGCAGTCAGTATCTGAGGATTGCAATTCTAAGCCAGCAGAATAGTAAAAAACATGAGATGTCTTTCTTCTTTTTCTTTCTTTCTTTCCTTCCTTCCTTTTTTTTTTTTTTTTGTCAGTCGTGGGGCTTGAATTCTGGGCTTGGGCGTTATCCCTCAGCTCTTCAGCTCAAGGCTAGCTCTCTACCACTTGAGTCACAGTGCCACTTCTGGTTTTCTAGTGGTTTATTGGAGATAAGAGTCTCACGGACCTTCCTGTCTGGGCTGGCTTTGAACCATGATCCTCGGATCTCAGCCTGCCTGCCTGCCTTCCTTCCTTCCTACCTGCCTGCCTGCCTGCCTGCCTTTCCTTCCTTCCCCTTCCTTCCTTCCTTTCTTCCTTCCTTTCTTTCTTTGTTTGTTTCTTTCTTTTTTTGGTGCCAGTCCTGGAGCTTGAATTCAGGGCCTGGGTACCATCCCCTGAACTTCTTTTGCTCAAGGCCTGTGCTCTACACTTGAACCATAGCTCCACTTCCAGCTTTTTGGGAAGTTTAGTGGAGATAAGAGTCTCACCTGCTTTCCTGCTTTGGCTGGCTTCAAACCATGATCCTCAGATCTCAACCTCCTGAGTACTCAGGATTACAGGCATGAACCACTGGCACCTGGCTGCATGAAATTATTATCTCCAGGTAACCACCAAAAAGCCAGAAGTGGACATATGACCCAAATGGTAGAGCACCAGCCTTGGGTGAAAAAACTAAACAAGAGCGTGAGACAAGTTCAAACCTCAGTACCGGCACACACCAAAAGAAAAAGTTGCTGTTGGTTCATGCCTGTAAACCTAGCTACTCAGGAGGAGCTGAGGATCAAAGCTTAAAGCCAGTCCAGTCAAGAAAGTCCATGAGACACTTATCTCCAATTAATCACCAAAAATCCAGGAGTGAAGCTGTGGCTCAAGAGGCAGAGTGCCAGCTGTCAGTGAAAAAGCTCAGCGACAGCACTAGATTCTAGTTCAAACTCCAGTACCAGCATATACACACAAAACAATAAAACATTGAGCTCTTTATATTGTATAGAGAAATGGTCATGCAACAAATATAGCAAAATGCTGTGAAAATCAATATAAATATTACACATTATAACATTTGTTTTACTATATAAATAGGCAAATCGGAATCTAGATGGTAAGTCCAAATTTTTTCACTGTACAAGTTCTTTTAACACATATATGCCTAAATTTTCATTAGTAAATATTGGAAAACAAAAATAATGCCTTCAAGTGATTTAAATTATAATAATGTTATATATAAATGTATGTTTGTTAAAATTATATACTTTATATATATAAACAATAGTGATTTCAAGGAAATAAAAAGTAAATCATGGCACATGTGGTAGAATAATCTGGCAGAAATCAGGAATGCTGTTGGGTTGGAGAAGGAAAACATAAAAGTACTTTGGGCAGCGTCAGAAAGTTCTAGAAATATGCAGTGTCAGAGCAGAAAGGGCTATGATAGCCAAGGAGGTTGGCAGGTGGAAGTCCCTCTTCCTTAGAGTCCCACCTGAGAAGCAGAGAAACTCACCTTTGTGCTCAAAGCAGCTCACCAATTCTTGAACCCAGGGCTCTTTGCTGCCCCCACAAACTTTGCGGGAATGTAGATGGAACCTATAAGGAAGCACAATCTGGACTCATCTATGGCTCCACCTTCGCTTCCCCACTTTTCCTCATTCCAAAGGGGTTAAATCATCCCCAAGAAATTAAGTTCTGCAGGAACTGGAAATCCCCAGTGGAGAAAGAGAAAGCGAGGCTCGTCCCCAGAGAAGGTCTTGGAGACACCTGTCAATTACGAACCGGTGGGCCTTGCGGGTCAGGGAGGTTACCTGATGTAGAATGGACAGCGGTCGAAGGCTTTCAGATATTTTCGCATATGATCCATTAACTTAACCTCTGGTCGGGGGCCAGAGGGGATTATCTTATCACAGAGACAACTTCCAACGACGCTGCCCTCGTTGCCATCTCCTGAAAGGGGGCGCGTGTGGGGAGGGGGGTGGATAGAGCGGTCAGCCCTGAATCTTCTTCCACTGTCCCCTAATCTACCGAAGCGCCAAGCCTTTCCTCTAGATCTCGGCCTCAACCCTCAAACCCCGTCTCCCCCCCCCCCCCCATAATCCCACCTGGACGCAGGTGTCCTCAGCTTCTTCTCATCCCCAGGCGTCTGCCTTCCCTGCCGCTGTCCGCGCAGCGCCCCGCTCCCCTCTGAACCCCGCGGCCTTAATGCCCTCCTCTCCCCGGCTCGGCTCCTTCCGGGGAGCCTTGATCGGACTAACCTGGCAGAGTCAGCTGTGACAGCAAGAAGACGAGGAGCGAGCGGGGCCGGGCCGTCCAGTCCAGCTTCATGGTGGCGGTGGAAGGAGTGGCCCTGGACCACCTCGCCCAGACTGAGCTCCCCGAGAGGCTCGGGAGTGTGAGGTCCCACGGATCGCTCGATGGCTTTAGTTCCCCGCCCCCTCCTGGCCTGAGTTCCTAGATGGGCCGGCGGCGGTGAGTGCAAACTCGGCCGAGGAGGGAGGGGGGCGCGGGGCGCCCGCCAGCCCCACGCTCGCGGCGTCCCGAACGGAACAGACCGCGGGTGTCCTGCCCGCCTCCCGTCACCCACAACGGGGGAGCCCCTGGAGGCGGAGCTGCCTCGCCCCGCGCCGGCCCGGGATGGACGAGGGGGCCGCTGCGCATGGGAGGCAGACGAAAGTGAAAGACGATTCGAGAAGAGACCGAGGTCAGCCGGACCGAGGCAGAACGCGCGACGGGGTCACGGGGTCACGGATGCCAGCCTCCTCTGGCCGGGGGAAGATGCTGCCCACCTGTGAAATGAAGGCTCTCCGCACCTGGCCACCTGTTCCAGGATGTCTTCCCTTCTCCGGCCCCGGCTTCGTCCCCACGGCATCCCGTGAGTCGGTCCGCAGAGTCTCCAGGCCTGCGCCCCACCACGCGTGGGCAGCGGGACAGAGCGTGGTCGTCGGGGGCGTGGCCTGCCCATCGGGGGCGTGGCCTGTCTATGGGGCGTGTCCTGTCCGTGGGGCGTGGCTGTCTGCTGGGGCGTGGCCTCTGCGCTGCGGACCTCTGGGCGGGCGGTGGGCTCGGGCAGCCCTGACGTCACGACGCCACCACCCCTTACCACGAGGTATTTACCTTCGAAAAGTGGTGGCGGCTGCAGGTACCGGAGAAAGGTGTGGGGCGTCAGGGAAAGGGATAGAGATGTACTGCGGCTCATGCCAAACCCAATCCAAGCCCAAGAGATGACCCAGCTCCCATTCCCTTCTCCACAAGTCCTCCCCCATGGGGTTAGCCTTCAGTCAAAACCTTTTGTTAAGAGTATCTGAGCCCCAAATAGTCTCATCCCTGAGTATCCGTCCCCAACCCTATTCACCCATGTCACTTAGCTCCCCCATTCTCATCCTTGAACCCCTCACCTTTGTCCCTGAAAACATTTTTAGCTCCGTAAGACTCATCCATAGATCCCACCCTAAGTGACCCTTGAATCTACACCCTCCCTCGTTTGGTGACCTTCCCCCTCCAAAACAAGTTCTCACCATTATCCTGTCCCTCACCACATATCTCTTCCTCTGCTTAGTTTGGGCCCAGGCCCTGTGCACCTGATGACATGGAATTTGTATCTGGATACCGGGATGAGTTCCTTGATTTCGCTGCTCTCCTTTTTGGCTGGTTTCGCAAATTCGTGGCAGAGAGGGGGACTGTGGGTACCAGCCTCGAGGGCCGTTGGCGACAGCTGGAGGCTCAGATCAGAAGGCTGCCTCAAGACCCTGCCCTCTGGGTGCTCCATGTCTTGCCCAACCGTAGTGTGGGCATCAGCCTGGGACAAGGGGCAGAGCCAGGTCCTGGACCAGGCTTTGGAGCTGCCAGACTCCTGGGAGATGAGCCTCCACTCCACCTGCAAGACCTGAGCCCCTATGTCAGCTTTGTCAGCCTAGAGGAAGGAGAGGAAGGGGAGGGGGAGGAGGAAGAAGATGAAGACATGATTGGACAGGAAGACCGTGCAGGGACAGAGAAGGTGGAACTTCTGGAAAATGGGGAACCAGCCCCTATCAGCAAGGAATTCCCTCCGGAGGCAAAGTTTCCAGGGGAGCCAGAGGTGGCTGAGCAGGAGGCAGGTGGTGATGATGGCTGCAGAGAGGACAGAGGGGACAATGAAAATGCATCCCAGAAGAGGAAGGGACAGAGAAGTGGTAAGACCCTAAGCTTGGCCCAGGCTTTAGCCCCTGACCAGTTATCTTTTCCTTCTGAATCCATCCCCTGCCAGTCAGGAGTCATAAACTGGTGGGTAGATCTGGCCTAAAAAAAAAAAAAATCTACATTATTCACTCTGGGTTTTTTTTTTTTTGTTTTTTTTTTTGGTGGGGGGAGGTTGGTATGTTCTGGTACTGGGGCTTGAACTTAGGGTTTCATGCTGTCACTTGGCTTTTTTGCTCAAGGCCATATTGCTCTACAACTTGAGCCACAGTTCCACTTCAGCTTTTTGCTGTTTAATTGCAGATGAGACTCACAGATTTTCTGTTTGGGCTGGCTTAGAACTGCAGTCTTCACATCTAAGCCTCCTGAGTAGCTAGGATTACAGACACATGAGCCACCAGTACCCAGCAACCACAATGTTTTGTTTTTATTTTAATAGGGAATAAAAATCCAGAAGTCTAGATTTTTACCTTATCAAGAAAAGTCTAAAGTTTTTTTATGAAAGTTTTTTTTCGGGGTGGGAGGGTATTGCTATTAGAATTTGAACTCAGGTCCTTGGGCTTGCTAGGCAGGCATTCTACCATTTCACTCCCCCAAACCTGAAGTTCTTCATAGGATGCCTACATTTCTGTATGCAGCCAATCCTGGCACTTTGTATCAGCTGTCGCTTTAGATGAGGCATGCCCTCTTCTTCCTAGACTTCTTTACTCACTGCAGTTATTTGTCTAGCCCTTGCAGGCATCTGAGTTTGGCACGGCTGACCATGACCATCTTTGTATTCTCTTTCCCCAGAGGCTGTCCCTCTGCACCTTTCCTGCCTCTTACTGGTGACAGATGAGCATGGCACCATTTTGGGCATTGATCTGCTAATAGATGGAGGTCAGGGGAGTACAGGCCGGGGCTCAGGAACTGAGAACCTGGCTCCTCGGGCCTATGTTCTCCTCTGCCACAGCATGGCCTGCCCCATGGGCTCTGGGGACCCTCGGAAGCCCAGACAGTTGACTGTGGGAGACGCCAAGCTGCATCGGTACACAACTCTGGTATCAGAGGGTGGGGAGGCCTGGGACCTGCATTCCTGAGCCCCTCAGCCCAATGCCATCTTCACCCCATTCAGAGAGCTGGAAACCCTGGTCCCAAGGCTGGGCGTGAAGTTAGCCAAGACCCCTATGCGGACCTGGGGTCCTCGGCCAGGCTTCACTTTTGCCTCCCTTCGGGCTCGAACCTGCCATGTTTGTCACAGGCACAGCTTTGAAGTGAAGTTGACACCCTGGTAAGTAAGCAGCCTGTATACAAGGGTGGAGTCTGAGGAAAAACCTAATCATCAGCCAAACAGTGATAAAACAAGCCTAGCCAGTGGGAGTTCCAGCAGAGAGAGGGAGGGCCGGGGGAGATGAGAAAACATGGAAAAGACAAAAACACAAGCTGTTATTGGCCGTTAGAGGGAGTAAGATGGACAGGCCAAATGAAATAAGGGCAGCTGTAGGGCAGGTGCACAGCTGGCAGAACCAAGAGAGACTAACACTCGGTACTTGTAACCACCTGTGTCCCCAGCCCCCAGTGCAGTGCCGTCTTGTACTGTGGAGAGGCTTGTCTCCAAGCTGATTGGCGGCGATGTCCAGATGATGTGAGCCACCGGTTTTGGTGTCCAAGGCTTGCAGCTTTTATGGAACGAGCAGGGGAACTGGCAACTCTGCCTTTCACCTACACCGCAGGTACCATGGGGTTGTCAAAGTGAGGGAGAAGAGACACTGTGTCTGTGACTTTGAGACTGATACCTGAGGGCCCTGGGAACAAGATAACGGGGTTGAAGGCTGGGATGTCTGGCTGAAGTAGAAATCCCTAGGATAGGGCTGGGAAGGTGGCTCAGTGGTAGAGCACTTGCCTTGCATGCCTGAGGCCCTGGGTTCCATTCCTCAGCACCACATAAGCAAAAAGAAAAAAGCCGGAAGTGGTGCTGTGGCTTAAGTGGTAGAGCGCTAGCCTTGAGCTGAAGAGCTGAGGGACAGCGCCCAGGCCCAGAGTTCAGGCCCCACGACCAGGCCCCCCCCCCCAAAAAAAAAGAAATCCCTAGGATAAAAGCTGAAGTGTATTTGGAGCTGGAGACAGAGTATCTGAACCAGAGACTGGGTGTCTGGGTCTCTGAGAGAACTTAGAGGATTTGGGGGCAGGAATTCAAATGCTTGCTTCCCACCTGCACCTCTAACTGGCAGCGTGAGCCAGGCACTTGTGGATCATTCCTGTAATTGTAGCTACTCAGGAGACTGAGATCTGAGGATCATAGTTCGAAGCCAATCCAGGAAGAAAAATCTGCAAGACTCTTATTGCAGTTAACTAGCAAAAAGCCAAAAGTAGAGATATGGCTCAAGTGGTAGAGAGCCAGCCTTGAGTGAAAAAGTCAAATAAGAGTGTGAGGCCCTGAGTTGAAGCCCCAGTACCAGCACACACACACACACAAAAACAACACATCACTTTACCTGTTGGAGCCTAACTTAGGCTTCTCATCTATGAAAGGAGACTAACAAGTAGAAAATCCCACAGGAATTGATACACAGTCCCTGGTACATTGTAGATGCTTAGAAATAATACTTCCCTCCTCCCTAACCAGAACTGGACCCAGGGTCCTTGGAGGAAAGCAGAGCAGAGTTAAGGTCCTTAACTATTCTCCTCTTTCTACAGAGGTAACCAGTGAAACCTTTAACAAGGAAGCCTTCCTGGCCTCTCGAGGCCTGACTCGTGGCTACTGGACCCAGCTCAGCATGCTGATTCCAGGGCCTGGTACCTCCAGTCACCCCTGGGACAGCACACCATCCCTCAACCTTCTTCTCAGTGGTGAGTGGCCATTTTTTTGGTCAGGTGTGGGTCCTTTACTCTAGGGAGAAGGATAGGGGAGCAAAAGCTGTCCAGGTCTCAGTTAACTCCTCCCTATAAATACCAGCCTCTTATCCAGCACTGTCAAGGCCATTACAAGCTTTGCTCAGCCCTTAAAATAGCCACCACAGCCCAAGGTACACCCCATCCCTTTTAGAGCATGTCTAGGACCTTTCTCAGGCAATAACCCTATGGGAGAGAGAAAGAGAGAGAGCTTTCCTGACCTCAAGTCTGTTCATCCCTTTCATCCTCTTAGGAGATCCCTACCAACTTCTCCAGGGAGAAGGGCCTGCCCTGATGCCTCCAGTGCCCCTAGATCCACCCAGGGGCCTTTTTGGTGAGTTAGGGCTTGAGACATGAATCAGAGGGCCAGCAGCTTTGGTGGCTGAGAAAAGGGGTGGTGGTGCTATTAGACCAGTAAGGTTGGGGGTAGGGTCTAGTTCTACAGCCAGGTTCCCCATGAACTTACTCTCTCCAGGGTCATGGCAGGATTACTATGCATGGCGGGGCCTCAGCCTTGACTCCCCCCTGGCTGTGCTTCTCACCTACCCACTGACTGTGTACTACGTCATCACCCATCTGGTGCCTCAGTCCTGTAAGAAGTGCAACATACATGATGAGGGGATGGAAGGGGAAGGAAAGCAATGAGGGAGATCATATCCTTAAGTGAGTTGACTTCACTTCCCATCAGTCCCTGAGCTCAACATCCAGAACAAGCAGTCGTTGAAGATCCATGTGGTGGAGGCTGGGAAGGAGTTTGACCTCATCATGGTATTTTGGGTAAGTATCTCCCATCTTGAAGACTGGGCACTGGGGGTAGGAGTGGACAGAGGGCAGGACTCAGATCTGTCTTCCTCTCTGTCCTTCAGGAGCTTTTGG